CTGTGATGTGAAAAAACATGTTTTTGGTACTGATTTCTTATTGAACAAAAGTTTAAAACACTTAGTGACTGATTTTGTTCCTAAATTAGCCCGACTTTTCAAAATTCGGCTAAGGGGAAAGTTTTTTAACTATAGTATTATCAATGGACATGCACCTACAGAAGACAAGGAAGAGGAAGAGAGGGAAATTTTTTATGAGGAGCTTTCAATGTTATACAGATCTTGTCCCAAGCATGACATTAAAATTATTATGGGAGATATGAATGCTAAATTAGCTAAAGAGAATGAATTTAGACCAACAATTGGAAAGCATGGCTTACATGATAGTACTAATGACAATGGACAACAACTATAATAATATTACTAATACAGTCAAAAGTCGTTAATCCGGCCTCGTCAGGACTTTGGCGATTCCGGATTATTGATTTTTCCGGATTATAGATCATCAGTTTAAATCTGGTAAGAAGATGGCATGTAGAAATTATAAAATTAAAAATATGAAACCATAATTTATGAAATAAAGAACAATTATATCTAAAGATTATCAAAATTTACAAAAAAAAAAAAAAAAAAAAAAAAAAAGCTTAATATTTATTTGTTTACTTTATTAAACATTTCTTTCAATGTAAGTGGTTTAAGTTGCTTCGTTTTTTATGTGATAATACATTCTCTTTAATTCTATAAACAGACATAATTTCTTGTTCAGTTTCAAAGTTCCGCTGTTCAAGTCCTATAATTGCTGTGTCGAGAATACCGACTATAGGGGTCTTGTCAATCAAAATTTTTTCGTTTTCAATAACCTCTGTCACTTTCTTCACTACCGGAAGAGAATTATAATGACAAGGAATTTGATTTAAATCATATCAAGGACGGAGTACATTCAGATGAAATACTACATTTAGTAAGGAATTATAAGCCAAATAAAATGAAAACATCTGCCCTGAAGATAAGGATAGTGCTGACAGATCAACTTCCAATTCATTGAGTGCCGCGGCGTTAAAGATAAACAAAGTTAGATAAACAAACGTTAAAGTTTATATAAACAAAGGATATGCCTTTATCAATTTTTTGCAGCAATTCCACTTTTTGTTTAATGGACTTCAAAACATACTTTCGCTTTGTAGATTCGTTACATATTAGTAAATATATATCAGAAATTTTATTTGACATAATCGAAAGTTCAAGCTTACTTTTATAAAATTGCTCTAACAGTCTGCAAAAAATAATAAGCCGAATCCAATTCGAAGATTAAGGAACAATGCAATCAGCAACATTAACTGAATTAGATAATTTTAAGCTTAGCTTATACTGTCCGTTATACATTAAACGTGCATTCGTAAATGTATTTTATGCACTCACACATGCATATTTGCAGCAGTAAAGGTCTTACACACATGCGTCAACACGTCACATGCGCAGAAAGTTTGTAGCTTTGAGGTCCGGATTATGGGTGTCCGAATTAACGACTTTTGACTGTATATGTTAATCTTTGGATTATGATAACTTGGCGATTTTTTTCGTGAAAATCTGGCAACCAACCCTGCTACAGCAACTTGCTAGTTTTGTTTTGGACGCCATTTTGTTTTCACGAAGTAAAGACATGTTTTCTTTTTCTTTACTCAACATTTTTTCCAACAATCTGCTAGCCGAATTACGCTTATACTAGAACTTTTATGGAACAAAAACGCTTAATCATGACGAAGATTAGGTGTGAGGGAGAAAGTGCAGAATCGCAAACTGCTTGCAGCGTTTTTAAGAATTGCACATACACGGTATCATCCATGTACACATCGACCCATTTTCACTTAAAAAAAATCCCAGAATTGCACAAAAATGGCATTGCGCACGCTCTTGACTTTATCAATGTACACTACTAAAGTCCTAGCTAGTAACTTTTATCGCCTTACCAAAATGTCGCCACTACCTGTTACCATATTCCAAAGATTAGCCTAATATATAATAATAATATTAAACAGTAAAACTTTTAAAAACAAACATGGTATTTCAAAATTAAATTTAAAAAAAATCTTCTGGCTACATTAAATTTGCACTCTTACAGTTACTGAAATAAAGCTCTAGGTTCTCGAAAAGCTCAAGAAAACATACAGCCAGAAACCACAACCAAATCAAAATCACGCCAAATAAAAAACTCTCACCAAGTTTGGTGCTCAGCTTGATTAAGGAATATTAACCGATACAGCAATAATAATGTAATAAGTTAAATAATTAGCTTCTTTTGTTTCTTCCAATTTAACGGAGAAAACCTACTTCTTCCAAATAGCTTTTTTATGTTATTGGGAAAGCTTGCAAATCCTTCCTGTCTTTCCTTTTACATGGCATGGTCTATTTATACTGGTGGCCAAAAGTTAGGCATAATTCATATTTATGTGAATATTTAAGGAAATCTAAGTCAGAATGGAGGGGGCGAACTGTGATAAACAAATGCAAAAGAAAGATATTAGTCACTTTTATTATCAAAAGAAATTCTTTGAAAGAAATCAGTGCAAAATAATAGTTTTGATGGATGGAGAACTGCAAAGGTTATTTGACAGTTAAATAAGGTGTGTGGTTGTTTCTGGAAGCCACACATGCTGCAGAATAATTGTTCATATGTACTACAAGAGTGCAAATGAGTTGTGGCCTCATACAGTTCCAAGCATTCATGAGATCTCTTTTTGGTTCTGGATCAGAGTTTGATGGGTGCAGAAGGGTGTTGCCCAAGCATATCCCACACATGCTCAATAAAATTATGATCAGGAAAGTGAGCATGCCATTGCATATGCTAGATATTTTCATTTTCAAAGAAGTCGTTGACCAGGATCGCACAATGGCAAGGCGAGTTATCATCCATAAATATCAATCCAGGACTGATAGCACCTCAAAACAGGCAAACATAAGGCTCAAGGACTTTGTCTCTGTACCTTTTAGCAGTCATAGAGCCCATATTTAAGATATGAAGGTCTGTGTGGCCATACAGCATTATGATTGCCTGTACCACCTGAGCCCATTTGAAGGAAAGTAATATTGGGTGAAAACAAGTTCCACGTTCCTTCTATATATTATCTGATGAGAATCAGTGTTCAGAGTAAACTGGGATTCATCACTGAACATCACATTGGCCTCTTGACTCCAGTGCCGATGTTTCAAACTCCAGTTTAAACTAGTGCCTTTATCCGCAGGCGTGAAAGAATGTAAGCAACTGATCATTTGATATGCAGACCAGCATGATGGAGTCTACTGTAAACAGTTTGCCTCAAAAATCGTACTCCCATGGCGGCTTTGAGCACTGAACCGTGTTTTCTGGCACAACTGTCCCTCTGACATAGCACAGTTATTGCCAAATAACAGTCTTGACGAATACTTGTTACGCTTGGTTGATCTACTGGTCATTGGGTAACATCTCCCATACTTTGAAATCCCTGCCACAGTTTTGAGATTACACACTGAGACACATTCTGAATTTGAGACACTTTAGTTTGATATCGTCCACATTCCAGCATTCTAATACGTTTTCCTTTCAAAAGTATGTCCATTTGGCATCTTTGTGTCACCTTTCGGCCTTTTTGTTCATTTAACTCGCTCTTCAGCACAGCAGTTCCACAAAACCTGCCTGATCTCTGTATGGCACATATAACGGTTTTATACTTTTCTAGATAAGCGCACATGTTTTGCGCATCTTGACATTGAAACTTTTTGCATATGCACACTGTTTCACCTTTAAACAATGATTCTCGACAAGTGATTTTGAACAATTTAATTAATATTTACTCACATTTTTCTACATTTTATGAATTATGATTAACTTTTGGATACCAGTCTATATAGTCAAAAGTCGTTAATTCGGACACCCATAATCCGGACCTCAAAGCTACAAACTTTCTGCGCATGCGTCGCGTTGACGCAAGACCTTTACGGCTGCGAATTTGCGTGTGCACGTGCTCAAAATACGTTTACGAATGTGCGTTTAATGTATAACGGACTGTATAAGCTAAGCTCTAATTATCTATTTCGGTTAATGTTGCAGATTGCGTTTTCCTTATCTTCGAATTGGATCCTGCGATTTTTTTGCAGACTGTTAGAGCAATTTTATAAAAGTAAGCTTGAACTTCGATTATGTCAATAGAATTTCCGATTTATATTTACTAATATGTAACGGATCTACAAAGCGAAAGTATGTTTCGGAGTCCATTAAACAAAAAGTGGAATTGCTGCAAAAAATGGATAAAGGCATATCCTTTGTTTATCTAAACTTTGTTTATCTTTAACGCTACGGCAGGCGTGCAATGAATTGGAAGTTTATCTGTCAGCACTATCCTTATCTTCAGGGCAGATGTTTTTATTTTATTTGCCTTATAATTGCTTACTAAATGTAGTATTTCATTTCGATATACTCCGTCTTTGAAATGATTTAAATCAAATGCCTCGTCATTATAATTCGCTTCCGATAGTGAAGAAAGTGACAGAGGTTATTGAAAACGAAAAAATTTCAATTGACAAATTAGTCGGTATTCTCGACACAGCAATTATAGGACTTGAACAGCGGAACTTTGTAACTGAATAAGAAATTATGTCTGTTTATAGAATTAAAGAGAATGTAGTATCACATAAAAAACGAAGCAACTTAAACACTTACATTGAAAGAAATGTTTAATAAAGTAAACAAATAAATATAAAGCTTTTTTTTTTTTTGTAAATTTTGATACACTTTAGATCATAATTGTTCTTTATTTCATAAATTACAGTTTCATATTTTTAATTTTATAATTACTGCATGCCATCTTACCAAATTTAAACTGATGATCTATAATCCGGAAAAATCGATAATCCGGAATCGCCGAAGTCCCGACGAGTCCGGATTAACGACTTTTGACTGTATTCCGTAACTGATCCACTTTTTAACAACTTAAAAAAAAAAAAAAATCTCTAAATAGAAAACTATGGAATAATAAAACAATGCTTATTTATGTTTGGGTTGCTAATTATAAAAGAAATTGCAGAACCTGTGTTTTAGCTGTGTGGGCCCAAAATGAATTCAGTCTATTTCCTTTTTCTAGTAGCATCAGATTTTCATGCCTAAAAATTAAAAATAATAATAAAAAAAAATTATACAAAGAAATGCTTATTCACAATTTAAAATAAATTTTAAATCTTTAAGTAATGTTATGGTTCAATAGCATTACAAAATTAGCAACTTCTTTTTCATTGTCAGTGTCTGTATTTATGAACTCATAACACACAAGAACCATATTATACATTATTGTTGTCCAATGACGTATAAAATAAATGTCAGATGTAGTGCTCAATGTATGATGGCCAAGAGCAAAGACTAAAAATCCTTTAATTTCCGTTTATCACTAGTAAAAAGATTCCTTTTAACTGCCATGCACTTAATCTAAAGGGACTAAAAGTTTGGTAGACTTTTTTCATTATTACCCACCACTTGGAAAGGATTTTAAGAAGAAACCAAGATAAAAAGTTCTAGAACTACAGAATCAACTCAAAATCCCAGAATTAAATTTTATAGATCCTGGTTCAGTGCAAAAAAATTTCAATACTTTCATTCGAATGTGCAATGAATCATTCAAATGAGTAACAATTGCCCACTTGTTAATTTTAATTAATGACGTTATTCATAGGTTATTCATGTTTTTTTTGAATGCTAATTAATTTTAAGAAAGAATATTTTTCATTTTATAAAATATGTATGTCGCACATACATATACAAATAAATTGCTTACAAATGCTACATAAATGTACACATTCTTAAACAATTTTGTATTAAATAAAAGTTTAATTTAGAGAAATATTATCAAAGATATCAAAAATAAAATAGAGCTTCAACTTATATCATAATCAATATATGATGAAACTGCTGGAATGGTATTTACTGTAACCAAGGGCTACCTATATATGAAGTCTTTATCATTCAAGTGTTGCACCAAATTTGTCATCAACTAAAAACCACACTATAAAAATTAAATACCATTTTAAATTATTAGTAAAATTATTTCAGGCTTCTGAATACTTAACTTTCTTTTGAAAAGATTAAAGAGGGATATAAAATACAAACTGAGATTCAAATTAAATCTTCTTAATCTCTCCTCATAAAATTACTGCAAAAAAATTGCAGTTTTCTCTTTCTTAACTATGGTTGCTGATTCATAACATACAGTAGTAATATTAAAATGTCATTAAGAGATCATTCTTTTGAGATTAAAGGGAACTAAGAGTAATACCTGGAGTACTAAGAATGAGACTTTTTTGGTTCAAGTGTGAACACTAATTAAAGATAATGAAATTACAAATAATAGTTCTCATTAAGGATTAAAAATATATTTTAAATCACATGAAAGTAAAAAATAAAGTAATATGTACCAAATTACTGCACAGGAAAATAATTTGAAATTACATCATGACTATTTCCAAGAATAACTGCTGAAAATTCTGCATTTGATCTGATGCAACAATCTTGATTTTTTTCGTGTTGTTTCCTAAACAGACAACATTTTTAAAATTTCCAAGTTCAATGAAGTATCCTTTTCGGTTTGTGCTTTCTAAGAAACCTTTTTATCAATCGCTTTTGGAAGTTCCATGATAACTATTAGCACTATTAATTTTGTTGAAGTTTGCTACATCTTGCCTGAAATAAATAAATTTTCATCATTGAGATAAGAGCTATCATCTATTTGCATAGTTTTTTCCACTTGGTCACTTCTTCCAGAAACTTTATCCTCTAAAAACATAAGAAAAACACTAACATCAGTCTTATCATGAGCTTCTAGTGCATAGCCTCCCAACTAAAAATTCAGTATGTGTGAAGCAATTTCTAATAACTTTTGCTGAGATATTACTCCAACTCCTGAAAATGTACTGAGAACTGAAGAATTGAACTCATATTTGCCATCAGTAATTTTGATCCATTCTTTGACCAAACACTTAAAAAAAATTATACTTGAAATTCACAATAATTTTTTGGTTCAGAGGCTGCAGAACTAGTGGAGACAATCAAAACTGCAGACATTCAAAGAAATTACAATCATGGTTGCAGACATTCAGAGATATTACAATTAGTCAACTGTTTTTAGTTTCTGTGATTTCAGTATAAGCATTATAGCTATTCTCAATATCAGTGACTTCTCATCTTGAAATTTTTATCCAATTCCTTTATTTTTTCTAGTAACAATGAAGAATTCATCCACAATGTCGAGTTAGTTTCGTATGCAGCAAGGAGGCTTTTCAGATAACATTTTAAAATCATCTCGGTGTAACATATTTACTAATGACATGAGGCTTCAATTTATCGATATTAATCATCTTTACATCTAACAACCCAATTATTCAGTCTCTGCTCCTTTTGTTCAAATAAGTTTCTTTTTTGGAGAAGAAAGATGAAATCATTTCTGGTAGAAGGCATATGAATAATCCTATTAATCTAAGTTACAAATATCAAAACTGATATAAACATCTTTAAACATGCCCTCTTCAACACTTTCAGAAAAATAATATGCACCAAAATTAGTTCTATACAAATCTTTAACCCATATTTTTCTCTTCAGTGAGTGATGGTTCTTCAGTCACTGAAGATTTTTGGTATCCATATTCTTTTGTTATTTTAACTATCCTTAAGATGACATCTGATATGACTTCATCTTTGCTTATGATACTGCTGAGCCAAACAGTATTTAAATTTGACTTCAAAATTTTCCTTATTTCTTCATTTTATTTATTGCCTAAAAACAACCACTGAGCTTTTGTTTTGATGCAAGAATTTTCTTAAAGATGTTCTTAAGATACTTTGCTTTTTGACAAGTGCTTATTTGGATATTCTACATTTTCCAATTCATTTGATTTTCTTACATAAAGTTCATAATTGCATTTTTACTACCACCTTGGGTAAAAAGAATTATTCACTTACCATGATTTTCGAGTTCACTTCGTACACGCACGTAAAAATCAAAATATCAATCATATTCAAATGACTTTTTTAAAACCAGGTACTCTTTCTGATCGAACGCTTTACATAGTGACCATCGTAAACTTTCTTCCTACAAACCCATTCAAATCCATCAAAACGGTTTTAAGACACACCTCAAAAACGCTTACAAAACATCCCATGATTCAAAATTTCCCAGAATCATGCACCCGATTACGTCACAATAGGGTTTCCATAACATTTAACTACTCAGGCTACCATAAATGAAACAACAACTTGGCGATAAATCAAACAGCAACTTCTCCATAATACAAGGGGTACCTTAAAGTCTACTCTACCCAAAAAGAGTTTCCAATTCTGGAGTTGCCAAAAGATCTACAAAGCGAAAACATGTTTCGATGTCCATCAAACAAAAACTGGAATTGCTGCAAAAAATGGATAAAGTCATATCCGTCTCAAAATTATGCGAGGAGTGTGACATTGGAAAGTCAACTGTATAGAATTAAAGAGAAAGTATTAGCACAAGAAACGAAGCAACTTACATTGAAAGAAATGTTTAAAAAAGTAAACAAATAAATATTAAGCTTTTTTTCTTTTTTCTTTTTTTTCTTTTTTTTTTTTTTTTTTTTTTTTGTAAATTTTGATAACCCTTTAGATCATAATTGCTCTTTATTTCAAAATTATGGTTTCATATTTTTAATTGTATCATTTCTGCATGCCATCTTACCAGATTTAAATTGATGATCTCTAATCCAGAAAAACCCATAATCCAGAATCGCCGAAGTCCCAACGAGACCGGATTACGGACTTTGTACTGTACTTGAAATTTTGTTATGTAAGAATAAAAACAATAGTACTAATTCTAATTCAAATTCTAAAATAATAATAATAATATAATTCAAATTCTAAAAAGGATTCTAAACTGAAAGCTATTTTTAAAGAATATATCGCAGACATCTTGGTCACATGTAATATATTCAACTTCAGCACTAATGTTTACTGCAATCATTCATCTGTTTGCCTATCACACACTTCAAATCATGTCATTTGATTAAACAAGAGTTAATTTTATTTTATTCCTTTGTTTTTCTATGCACTCCCAGTTTGTTCCTCCAGCTCTTCATCAAAGACTAAATTAATTACTTAAAACTAGGTGTTATTGACAAAGGCTTTTTACCTAACATTATTAATCAAGCAGTTGAAGAATTCTCAACACATCAAAAAACATCCTCTCATTTTAGGAGATTATAAAAATCTGTTATTCCTTTCTTTCCATTGATTAGATGTAAAATTGCATGTATTTTACCAAAATACAATTTTGGGGTAATTTTCTCTACTCTAAATAAAATTTGCAGTTTCATATTTAAGGATCCTCAATTACAGATATATGATCTTCTGGGGCATATATAAGATTACTTGCCAATGTGGCTAAGTTTACATTGGTTTGAATTAGATTTTATAGAAGCATTTCACATTCATAAGAATCTTTCAGTACTAGTTAATGATTTCAAGGAAATTATTTCACAGTTGTTTTCATTTTTCATCAACAGAGGGTTCCAGTAGATTTACTTCCTTCCTCTCCTCCTTATCACTGGCTTCTCTTTCCTCATTTGCACTTCTGCAGCTATAGAAGAAGGTTCTACGCTAAAAGTCTTCAGAACTAGTTCTGCAAATTTATGAATATTATGATGATTCTTGTTGCTTTAATTCCTAATAATTGTTATTCAGTGCATTATTTTAACTCAAATATCACATAATTTTAATGATGCATTTGTAAGAGCTATACAAACATATTGTTGATATGAAATTTCAGAACTTGGTTCATGGTGTTAAAAAATACAAAAATAATTTAAACTTGCAATACTACTTGAATATTATACTGTTTTCTTGCTTTTGAGATTTTCCATTATGTATTAAAACAAATGATGCATTTGTAATAGCTATACAAACATATTGTTGATATGAAATTTCAGAACTCGGTTCATGGTGTTAAAAAATACAAAAATAATTTAAACTTGCAATACTACTTGAATATTATACTGTTTTCTTGCTTTTGAAATTTTCCATTATGTATTAAAACAAACATATTTTAGCAAAAATTGCTTATGCATAACTTTTTTTTCATGTGGTATGATCATAAGTTGGACATTCTTTTAAAAAACTCAAATAGATGTCTTAATTGTCATGTTTAAATTTACATTACAAAAAAAAAAAAAAAAAAAAAAAAAAACTGCTTTTGATATTTAAAATTTAACTGTTTTATTCAGTGTCTATTCAAAATTTCAAGTAAGTTGTTAGCTAAAGCTTTTTCATTACCTCAGGTTTGAAGGGTTTAGCACTTATAGGCTGCTGTTTCAATCTGATGACTGTATACACGTATTTATTTAAAACCTACAAAACTGCTAATGTTTTATAGCTTGATTGATATAATATATCCTTCAGAAAAATTTAACTGTTAATTAGAATGTAATGGCATGCTTTCAGAAACACTTGTCTCCGAGAACTTCCTTAAATTTTCCCACTGTTTATTATTAGAAATTAAATGTTAACAAAATTTTTTAATAAGCACCAATGTCACAAATACAGCATACTAAATAAATAAAGCTCTAGCCACTAGATAACACAAAGCAAAAAAGTAAGACTCTAGCCACTAGATAACATGACTGTTACACATGAAAAACATATTCTTGAAGATGCAAGCACTGTGCCATAATTGTAATTTTTGCAATGTTACATTTAGCGAATTCTCTACAGAAGAATAACCCTGATAGCTATTTTGAATATATTAATCGGCTTGACAAAAAGTGCAATTTATATTTGTAGTTATTGGAAAATATACTTCAAAATATTCAGATAAGTACACAAGTAACAAGTATGTTTGTTTAAATACATATTATCTGAATGAAACGAAAATGCACACTTTTATTTATGTCTAAATGTATAGACCAACGATTCTCAATCAGAAGGAATTCCTTCTTGGGAAATCTTTGGTATTTATCAACAATTTCAATACTTTGTTAATTTATAAAACACATTAGAAATAATTTAAATCTAAATATGTATGTATCTATTTTATGTACTTCTCTAATTTTGGAAAGAGAATGGGAAGGGGCAATCATCGTCTAGCAATGGTAAAAGGGGTGAATGGGACAAAAAAAGGTTAAGAACTATTGGTGTAGACAAAATATAACACATGCATATGTGAATGTAAAAATTAATTAACAGAATAAACATTTTTCATTAATTTAAAATTATGTTAGTTTTTATATGCAATTTAAATTGATTGTTTTCCAAAATGTGGGCTCCTAAAAGATTTGAATCTCTTTTTGGTTACATAATTATTCAGATTTATTTACTCTTTGTAATTAGTTTTACTGTTCATTGATTTATTAATATTTCATCGGCAGTACAGATCCTAGACCGCCCATCTTCCCCCCCCCCCACTACGATCGGCACTGTTCACCACCTTCATTCGTGTACAAGTCTATAACACTCCTTATTTCCTCGCTTTTTCGAATAAATTATATACTGGTGGGTCACGATAATGAAAAGTTTGGAAGAGCTCATTTTTTACATATATGTATAGATGTGCCACATATCAATTCTACAGACACAATCTGCATTTCACATAATAAACAAAAAAAGGGTTTTCATCCGCAGAGAACCCGTTGGCGCCGTTGCATTTTTACTCGCCAAGCTCGCCGTTCATCGACGATGAGCCGATCCGTAAACGTGATATTTTGTAAACGTGATTTTTAGTGCATGTAAATTCAAATTAGGAGACAAAACAATATATTAAGCATATGGTAGTAAAAATTCACAGATAATAAGCATGTAGATGTAAAACTAACCGGTTTAACGTGATATACGAAAATAAATGTGTATTAAATTCAAGTTAGCACAGAAAAGAATATATTAAGCATAAGACAATATATAAGGATTTATAACGGAAATAAAAATTTATTTAAAAAATATAAATTAGTATTAATATACTGAAATTAACCGGTTAACCGTGATATACGAAAAAAATTTGTCTTAAATTCCAGTTAACACAGAAAACAATATATTCCTTACACCAGCAGTGGTTTGCTAATTTTGATGACCATGGTGATGCATCGAACTATTCTGACATCTTAGATAATCAATATTTTTTATTTCAATTTAATTCATCTATTTATATCACACCTGCCGTCCTGCTGAAAGGTTTTTGTTAGAAAAGCATTAACAATATGTTATGTTGGTTAAAATTTTACGCCTATAAAAATTGATTTATTCTCAGAATTTTAGGATGACAATAACCAATAGTAAAAATAAAAGCATTACTTAATTATTTAAAATACACATACACATTTTTTGCGGTCTACGAAAGCAAATTATTTTAGACGATGGAAACCTCATGGTTCTTAAGAGCTGTTAATAATTAAGAATACAACGTGAACAGCCGTGTTATAAATTAGCATTCACCCCTCCTTTCATCCCGAACCGAGAACCGGCATCTATCTACGAAAATATTTCTATCTATTCCTTGTTAAAAATTCAGAAGAAATAATAATAAATAAGAGAAGAATAATATAAATCTGCAAATGCGAACAACGACAGTGTTAATTCAACAAAATATACGCAAAAGAATGGTTGCAAACTTCGAACAAGCGAATAGGATAAATCCGATGGGTTACCAATATTGAACTATTATCGCCAAAGTTGGCGATGTTTACATTTACCGGGTTCTCTGCGGAAGTGCTTCCCAAAAAAAAATTATATCTGCTGATTTGAAATAACTACCTTGTTTATCAAAAAAAAAAAAAAAAAAAAAACATAAAATAGTATTTTTGCATACATAAAGTTATACGTAAATAAACATGACTTTGTTTTATTCTTTACGGAAACCCAAACCTTAAGACGTAAACACAAAAAAAAAAAAAAAAAAAAAAAAAAAAAAAAAAACTAATAAATTAGCACCTAGCAACGGTTGCCAACAAGTTGAAGTAACTTTTTTGACTTGATTTTTGAAATGTCCGATGCTTTTTATCTAAGGGATAACACGAAGTTTTTTAATCAACTCGGTTCATTTTGTAATCAAGAATGCATTAAAATGTTTGAAGGTAATTTCTAGAAATAAATCAATTTCAGTTTCTTAGTTTTAAAAAAGACAGTATACATGGTCGTTGAGCTCAGAATATATTAAATGAAATGCACTTCATTAAGCGAATTTGTATAGTCATAAAATAATGCTGTTTTTTTATTTAAGGCATACTGCAGTTTTTATTAAATAACCTTATTTTAATTCATATCGAAGAATGCATTATAAAACAATTTTTATCTCATTAAAGTATGTGCATCAAAATGGCAACATCTGAATGTTAGGCGGGTTGTTTTAATTGGATTGTACCGAGAAACATTGGTTTTTTTTTATGTTCAAGTATATTTTTGTAATGTATTCTTTCCTTTTAGAAATGCATATTTGCGTTTCAGATGTTCATTTCGAATGCATTATTTAGAAGTTAGTGGGATTTTCATTATTAATGTTAAGAGTCATATTTATAATGTTGATATTGCTAAGAGTAAATATATGAAAACCGAATTACACTATTCAATAGGAGCCTATAATGAAGTAATAAAATGTTAATGATTATGTACTATTATTAAAGGATATAGTGTTTTTTTTGCATGAAATCATTTTATTAAAGTATTTTTCCACATTCTAGTTTGTGTACTATGAATACTCTGCCCTTTAACAACTTAGATGAACATCTTGCACGATTTGCTGCTTCAAAGAAGAATCTTTCTTCAAATACTAATCTAGGAAATGGGTAAGTGACCAAATTAATTATAAGACATTCATTAAGCTTTATTGGAAGTTTAACTATGATAAATAGCAAATAAAGCAGAATTGCACAAACTCCTTACTGACAACATTATGAGTCAGGTCATCAGATTAAATTCATCATCATCTAACAACAAAACAAAAGAAACTACCAACTTTATAATTCACTTTAGCTAAAAATTTAACTAAAATTTGGATATTATCTGATTATCTTTACCCCTATTGAAAAGTTTGGAGGCAAAATTATTGGTGAGTATGGAGAGAAACTAATTCAGAAGTCAAACAACAAAAATCAGCGTTATATTTTCAAAATTTTCACAGGACTAGTTTCGATGGTTTTACCGAACCAACATCCTCAGCTGCAAAACCGCAAATTTTTGTTGTTTGACCTCTGAATTAGTATTTATTTGGCGTGTTATTGTGTCTTAATTATGGAGGGAAACATTTGTTTGGGTATCTTTAAATCTGTTTTAGTAATGCATCCAGTATCATTTTTTTAATAATCTTTTATGTGTTGTCTTTATGTAACTTGTTTTAATTATATGTTATGTATCTTGTCTTTTATATGTAGCTTTCATATATCTTGAACTTGTCAACGGGTAGGTATTTAAAATATTAAACCAGGTTATATATACATTTAATGTATACACTTTCCAATCAAGATGTGCATACTTTTCTGCTTTTTACTCTGCTGTACTTCTCATATACACAGCAATCTGTTTAAAAATAAAGACATTGGAGAATTGTACAAACTCATCGTAGCACATAACCGTGGCATCAAAATCATGAAATGAGAAAGAAAAAGGAGGTACCTGATGCCTTTATGTGAGCCACATTATGCTGTGTGTATGCAGAAAGATAAGTTTGAGATTTTTTTCGAAAGGTGACGAAAATTGCAGTAGATACAGTGGTGTAGCTAGGGTGGGGCAAGGGGGGACATCTGTCTCTGGGTGCAGCATCCAAGGGGCGCCAAATTGATGCGACAAAATTTTTTAATGAAATGTTTTCCCATTCTTGGCAAACAGAAAGGGGCGTAAATTCTTCAGTTGTGCCCGGGCGCTGTAAACTCTAGCTACGACCCTGAGTAGATAGTCTATCTTAATTGGTTAGAGTTGACTTCAGGGTACCCCTTTAGAGTACTCTGTACACATTGACCTACTTTCACTTAAAAAAAAGGTTGATCTTTACATTATGGTAACTTGGCGATTTTTTTGGCGAAAATTTGGCGACCAACTCTCCTACAGCAACCCTCTATTTTTTTTCCCCGCCGCCATTTTGTCTTCACGAAGTAAAGACATGTTTCTTTTCTTTTTATCTACTGAACACTTCTTCCAACAATCTACTAGCCGAATTACACTTATGCTAGAAATTTTATCTAACAAAACTGCTTAATCATGACAAATATTCACTGCAAAATTGGGAAAAAGTGCACAATACCATACTCCTTACGCGTTTTTCAAAATAACACATACACATAAACCATGTACACGCCGACTTATTTTTACTTAAAAAAAACATCCCAGAATTGCACAAAAATGGCATTGCGCACACTCTTCACTATATCCATGTACACTGCTTTTTTTCTCATAAATTAGAAAAATTTCACGAAAATACATGACAATTTTCTCAATCTTTAAACCCGGTAAAAAGAACATATATGAAATTACCTGATCGCGAAAAAGTATTTACCCTTTCCAAATATGAACATTTCCACATATAAAATAAATAAAATATCCAAAAACTTTTACCTCTAAATCATCTATTACATTATACACGTCACCAACGAATTCATACCGCAAGCATTACAAATACTTAGTATCAAATATTTAAATTATTTCCATGCACGTTTACTTCAACTTAAACGTATACCAAATTCCTACAAACATAAAATTCACAAAATAACTATCATTTAATTAAAATATCACTAAACCATGTACACGTCGACTTATTTTTACTTAAAAAAACATCCCAGAATTGCACAAAAATGGCATTGCGCACACTCTTCACTATATCCATGTACACTGCTTTTTTCTCATAAATTAGAAAAATTTCACGAAAATACATGACAATTTTCTCAATCTTTAAACCCGGTAAAAAGAACATATATGAAATTACCTGATCGCGAAAAAGTATTTACCCTTTCCAAATATGAACATTTCCACATATAAAATAAATAAAATATCCAAAAACTTTTACCTCTAAATCATCTATTATATTACAAACGTCACTAACTAATTCATACCTTTACTTCATTACAAATGGTTAAAATACTTAGTGTCAAATATTTAAATTATTTCCATGCACGTTTACGCAAATTATTTACTTCCACCTTACATTTAGAACAATGCATAAAAATAATATCCTCAAATAATTAAAAATACTAACTTACCTATCTTCTTCAGAATCTTGATTACGTGTCCGATAAACTTTTCTTATTTCTGTTTCAGGATCTTTAAAATCATACTTATAGTTCACACCAAGGTACCAGGTAAAATAAATAACTTAATAAAACATCTTTACTTCATCTCGCACAACCTTAAAGAAAACACTTATTACCCTTTCAATACCACTAAATACCCATTTCGAATTCACTTTAGTTACGGCAATGGGATCCAAAAATTAAACAACACTGTTTCACACAACACAGAATAAAGCCAAATACAAAATTTCCAGATTTTTTTCCCGATTTTCCCCCTTTTCCGATTAAAGAACCGTAATTCGTCCATTAATATCACATGACATATCCCATGATCTCTCATTTCCCTCACACAAAATAATGCGTAATCGGAACTGAGTACTGCTCACATTATTACCAAAGTCCCAGGTAGTAACCTTTATCGCCTCCAAAATGTCGCCAAACTACCAGTTACCATATTGTAAAGATCAGCCCACTGTTTTTTTATTTCATGTTGAAATTTGAATTAAAATTTTGTCTTGTTGTAGTCTATTGCGCAATAAGCTTAAATGCCGCTGTTACATTTCTTTGAAATTATGTTATGTAATTTTAAAGATCGTTTTAGTTCGTAGATTCATTTGTTGCCTAGTTTGTGCATTTCGTATATGTTTTTTTGAAGTTAAAACATTTCGCTGTGTACATGGATTCTTGTCAAATATTTTTGGTTAGAAACTTTACGTTTTTGCTATCTAAATTTTTTGTTTGTGTTTCGGATTTGTAGCTTAAATTATGCGTTCAAAACGTGGTTTTTCAAGGTTCGTACGGTCCTTAAAAGTCCTTAATTTTTCAAAAAAGATTTTTGGCCCTTAAAAGTCCTTAATTTTGGCCAAAATGAATAAACGGTCCTTAATTTTGCTCATTTGACATTTCTTATCATTTCTAATGATTGCCATTCTAAGTGTGAATTACGATTTCTCATGAATAAGGAATTAAAATTACACGGCTCTTAACCAATCTGTTGGCGGATTTGCGTTGCAAATGATAAAAAAAAAACGGTTGATCTTAGGATTATGGTAACTTGGCAATTTTTTGGCGAAAATTTGGCAACCAACTCTGCTACAGCAACCCTCTATTTTTTTTTTCGCCGCCATTTTGTCTTCACGAAGTAAAGACATGTTTCTTTTCTTTTTATTTACTGAACACTTTTTCCAACAATCTACTAGCCGAATTACACTTATGCTAGAAATTTTATGTAACAAAAGTGCTTAATCATGACAAATATTAACTGCAAAATTGGGAAAAACTGCGAAATCGCAAACTCCTTGCGCGTTTTTCAGAATAGCACATACACATAAACCATTTACACATCAACTTATTTTTACTTAAAAAAAATCCCAGAATAGCACAAAAATGGCATTGCACACACTGTTAACTTTATCCATCAACACTATTTTCTCATAAATTACAAAAATTTGCACAAAAATGCAAAAAAATTCTGTGAATCTTTAAACGCGGTAAAAAGCACATATATGAAATTACCTTATCGCGAAAAAGTATATACCATTTCCACGTATAAAATAAATAAAATATCCAAAAACTTTTACCTCTAAATTATCTATTATATTATAAACATCACCAACGAATTCATAACCGCAAACATTACAAATACTTAGTGTCAAATATTTAAATTATTTCCATGCATGTTTACTTCAACTGAAACGATACCAAATTCCTACAAACATAAAATTCACAAAATAACTATCTTTTAATTAAAATATCACTAAACCATGTACACGTCGACTTATTTTTACTTAAATAAACATCCCAGAATTGCACAAAAATAGCATTGCGCACACTCTTCACTATATCCATGTACACTGCTTTTTTCTCATAAATTAGAAAAATTTCACGAAAATGCATGAAAATTTTGTGAATCTTTAAATCCGGTAAAAAGAACATATATGAAATTACCTGATCACGAAAAAGTATATACCCTTTTCAAAGATAAACATTTCCACGTATAAAATAAAAAAAATATCCAATAACTTTTACCTCTAAATTATCTATTATAAACGTCACCAACAAATTCATACCGCAAACATTACAAATGGTTACAAATACTTAGTGTCAAATATTTAAATTATTTCCATGCACGTTTACTTCCACTGAAACGTATATACCAAATTCCTACAAACATATAATTCACAAAATAACTATCATTTAATTAAAATATAATTAAATTTAAAAACACTACTTAAAATATAAATAAGCACATACATTAAATTAATAAAAATTAGCTTACAATCCTAATTACTTTAAAGTAAATCATTGCTAATAACAATTTTCCAATAATACAATATTATTTACTCCTTATATTTAGAACAATGCATAAAAATAATATCCTCAAATAATTAAAAATACTAACTTACCTAATCTGCGAATTTTTCCTCCATATTTCCTCCCCTAAATAAAAAGCAAAATTCTCTTTTTCACAATGCCTAAATAGCCATTTCAAATTCACTCGCATGACATATCTCATGATCTCTCATTTCCCTCACACAAAATAATGCGTCATCGGAATTGAGTACTTC